GTGGCAGGAAGAGGGGAATTTCTCCTAGTTTTTGACTCAAAAGGTGTCTTTTTTTTCCAGGACAAGTAATGGGAAATCTCTCCCATTATCGGGGACAGAATGCAAAATCAATTTTTTTGTACAGTGGGGCAGATTTAGAACTTCTGACAATGTTTTTATTGCAGTCTACACCGTATGTTCCTGGCACCCCAATTTACAGCTGTCGCAGGGACAGGAAATGAGAAAAAAAACCCCAATGTGGTCACAGATAGAGACAAAACCCTGAGGGATAGGTGCGTAACTAGAAATCACAGGGCCCCGTAGAAAAATTGACATACACACTTCATATGTAGATGAAACTAATTCCCAAAGCCCCAGTCCGCCTGTGACCAGACAATGTTTATGTCATCCCTGATCACCTCTTCAGATGCAAAAACTTGTGAAAGGATGAGCAGGAGCAATGCACTGCCATAGAGAATAATAACTGGATGGTTGACATGTGCATGTACACTTCACATGGAGGTCAACGCTACTGACCACCACAGCCAGAGGAAATAAGCAGTGCCTTAATGTGGGCAGGCAGTGGCAGCTGTAGCATGCTTAGTGTGTATGGGAGGTGTGGATTACTAGCAGGTTTGCTTAGTTATAATGATATACTATGGGTAATGCATAGTTATAATGATATACTATGGGTATGTAAGCTAAGATTAAACTATGTCCATTTCTAGGAGGCTTAGGGGTCACGCCTGTGGCTGTACAATGAAATTTCAGGCAGGCAGCCTGAGTTCAGGGTTGTACACCTGTACATATGTGTGTGGCTCCCTAGCAGGGGAAAGTATGCCAAAAGCCTTTATTGACGTCCATTAGGCAAGTCAGACAATAGTTTTACAACCTTTCGGAACCTCGCCATGTCCCTTCATCAGCAAATTGACAACAACCTTTCGGAACCTTGCAAGGTCTCTTTATCAGACAACGTTTTGGAACCTTAGGATTCCTTCATCAGCAAAGTGGTCATTTTTCCTGATGAAGGGACCCTGCGAAGCTACGAAATATTGCATAACTATTATCTGACATGCTGAATGGACATCAACCAAGGTGTTTTTGATGAAGATTCACTGAGGTGTGCTGGTGACATACTTTTTCGATTAATAAATGGGTGCCATGCGCAGCAACCTATAAGAAGAGGTATATGTTGAGGATATCTGCAGGCTTAATGTGACACTAAACTCAGGAGTTAAATCTTAGAAATGCATTCAAGTACCTTAACTTTTAACAAAAATGTAACGTATTTGTGTATAACTTGGCTGTGCTGACATTGTCCTTCCTTCTGTAATCTCACGTTTAGTTTACCAATTTGTATTGAGATTGTAGTCCATCACAGTAGTGAGCTTGGAGCGGTGGCTACTTTACAACACACACAGGGACCAAGGGGGAACAAAAGTAGTCACCCTCCAGAAGGAAGGACAATGTCAGCACCAATTCAGAGATGATTTTAGGTTTTACACCTGAGTGATACACAAATAAGATACATTTTTGTTATACGAAAATGAGCAACATGCTTCTGCCGCATGTTTTTGGGCGCTTACATTGAAGTCTATGGGGCAAACCGCCCAAAGAAGCTCACATTTTTGGGCGTTTGGTGTTTTTCTGCTGGCATTTTGCTGCTCAGGTGTGAACAGGGGCACCTGAAAATCATGGAATTTCTTGTGTTAGGCATTTAAAAGCACTTTTCCAACTGCTCAAAAACGCCTAGGTGTTAACTAGGCCTTAGGCTGCTTGAATGAATTTTCAAGATTTAACTCCTGAGTTTAGTGTTACTTTAAAATAAATCTGTCACAAATTTGGTACTTTTAATCCAAGATTTTAGTGGACAAAATAGACAACCAAAGACAAAATAATCAGTAGATAAGTCATATGCAAATATTTTTCTTTAAAAAATGAGCCTGTCTAGTACCCATCCTAAGACCTCTGTTGGTTTATTATTTGTGATTGTTGACCTGTTGGGAGGCATTGGAGATTGGCTGGGTGGGCTCAAGATTTGCATTTAGCTTCTAAGTCCATATTTTTTACCATATGATCAGTTTGAACTGCTCAGGTTTGTGACAGGTTCACTTTAAGAATGCTCTAAATTTATGACCCTGCCTAGAACTACACATATCTGACCTTGCTTAGCACTAATGTAGATAGTACAATAGTTCTTAAGAAGACTTAAGCAAAATAAAATGCATGGATAAATTAAATATCTACAACGTACAGTATATATACAGTCAGTATAACACATATTCGCTGTGGTTATCTTTCGGGGCACAAGAAAATCTTTGTGGTAAAAATGTTAGGCTTGCCCTGATTAATGAGCAGCAGTTATGGAAATAGCCTGTTTTCTCTAACATTGAAACAAACTACTGACACAAACTGTTACTAAAACAAAGCCCCTGGCAATACTATACAATCTGATTGTACAATCTATTTTAAACTTACCAAAACGAAGTAATATGAGGGCAAACCTAAACAATTCATTGCCTTAGTATCGAAGCAGGCCGGCCCTTGTACTTCATAGTTGATGGAAGATCTATTAGTGATTGTACATTCAGATTGTTTAGTGTATGGTCACCTTAAAGGCCCGTTCACACGATCCAGGGCTTTCATCGCACAGTCCCGTGGGATGAACGCACTGGATTGCATAAACAAAGCCTCCCCGCGTTCCCCAGTGCAGAATGATCACAAAAAATTGTACATGCATGATTTTTTGTAATCGCATCGCACTGGAACACAGGGCATTGCGGTGCCATGTGTTACAGTGCGGGCGATCGCACTGCGGGCAGGGGGCGTGTCTGCGGTGCCATTGAAATGAATGGCACCACCACTGTCCATGTGACCCCTAGAACATGGGGAGCCTTTGTTTATGCAATCCAGTGCGTTCATGCCACGGGATTGCGCTAAGAACGCACTGGATCGCTTGAGCGGGCCCTAACACTGCATATGTAGCTAATATTTAAAAAAAATTAAAAAAAACAACCAAGTATCAAGAATAAAATATCTTTATTTTCAAATAACAAAATAATCTAACTTTGTTTATTTTCCTGAATACATACATGGTACATCTATGTCCAAAAAATAAAAGGGTTGAGGACTCCTAAAATGCATTGTGAGAGCTATATTCAAGACTGTATCTGTATAGTAGTGACATCACATTTGACTATGAATACATTCAAAGAAATCTCTATTATAAGGACATTTTTACAGAAACCCATAAAAAGAAATCGGAGGTTCTGCCAACAGAAACCAATCATTTTATAGCTGGCATGTTCCTACTGCAACCAGGGAAATTGATTGAATGGGATGGTTGCCTTGGGTCACATACTTATCCCTGCTTTGATAGATAGCATTGAACTACAACCCCAAACATGCTGTGCTCATGGATACTAGTGGAATACAATAGTAGCCTCGGGCTGACAATCCTGACATAATGGTTCACTTTCTCTTGTTAAAAAAAGGGATTTAATACTGATAAAATAAAGGACAGGCAAGCAGCTCACATAACGAATGTATCAGGAAAAGTGATAGGACGTTACTGTGACCTTACAATTTAATTACAACCATAACATCCACAGATATTGCAGGTACTGATGTGCTCAGTACAGACATAAAGAACTTCACGTCCCAGTACAGGACTGGGAATATTACACACCGTTCAATCCTCCAAAATATATATTTTATTTTGAAGCTGTAAAATAATACTCCTGGCAAAAATAATCATCAAAAATAAGTCATCTTGTTTTAAACATATTAGACCAGGGGTACACAACCTTGGCACTCCAGCTGTGACGAAACTACAAATCTCATCAAATCCTCTAGGAGTCATGCCTGTGGCTGTTAGTCTTGCAATGCCTCATGGGACTTGTAGTTTCCCCACAGCTGGAGTGCCTGGTTGCAGTTGCCTACCCCTGAAGTAAACTGATATGTGCACTGAAAATGATTATTTAAAGAAAACCTGTGCTAACAGGAATATGGAGGCAGCCACTGGTGACCTTCTAGCAATGCTAATTGCCTGGCATTTGTGATGACCCCAATTTTTTCTATATTTTCTTAACAAATGACCTGGTGCAACTATGCAGCCAGTGAATTCAGAACTAATGACCTGCTTGGTTTTTGCTGGTCAGTGTACTAAAGAAAAGAGATCAGGACAAGAGTCAGGTAGCTAGCATTGTCAGAGGTCAGCAATGACAAACCATACACTATATGGAATCCTAATCATACAACATTACTCTCATGTTACTTTTTAAAGTAGAGGATGTGGAAAGTGGTGGTGCTGCCAATAGCAGCCAGAGACACAAATGTAATTGTTTTATGCTGACTGGTTACAAAATGAAACAATCATCTGGTTTCTGGTTATAGGCAACACCCCCATTTTACACTTATAGCATATCACAAATACACTATTACTATAATAACGGTGCAATAACCCTTAGCAACTGTACAGCAGCTTTTAACGAATATGACTACATATATTGTTGCTATGGGTTACTGCATGTAATTATTTAACTGAATGAACATTGTGAAAGTTATATCTATAGTGGTAAAGCTCAGGCAAATTAATAGTTCAGCTGAGAAATGTCACTTCATTATAAAATAAAAAAGAATAAAATAAAAAGTTATTTTTTTTCTTCAGTAAGTTGTAAAAGCTATTGATTCTTTACAAGCATCATTAAATATCTGAGTTTCCAAATGGTGATCCATTTTTTATGTTCAGAATGAAAGTGGATTTCAGTTCTTGATATATCAGCAGCAGAAATCAGAGTACATCGTCTTCTGATTGAAATTTCGCTACAATATAATCGCAGTCTACAATTGTCTTACCCCTGAGTTTAGGAAGTTCACAGAATATTTTACATTATAATCACTTGCAGGTCTTTAATTGCATTGGCAGATTATTCTTTGGATCAGATCTTGTCTTTGCATTTGTGGATCTCTGAAGCTGTCCAAATGAACACAGAACGTTTTATGAAGTTACCAGTATTTTGTCAGTGCATGGAGAGAGAATGTTGGTATGCTGATCCCTGAAAGCATCCAAGCTGGCAAGTAAATGATCCAGGAGCTGGTTCTGTTAAAGTGTCCATGTGGTTCTGAAAGTAGCTGCCCCTGACACCAATACTGTAGCTCCCATGTGTATAGTATGGGAAGCCTGGCATTGAATTGTCCTCTGTTGAGCTTCCATAAGAGCCCTGCAAATATGGGGCCTCAGGTGATAGTCTGGTGTAGTAAGGAGATGGACATTGCTGAGGCTGTGCGATCTCCCCATAGTTTGGATTTGCAGAGACGGTTTGATGCGTCTGTGGTGGCACCATGTAGGCCTGTGGGCTGCTGTCTTTGATCTCTGACTGTCTTTGCCCACTATATTGAAGGTGGCACTCAGTGTGGCTACAGCTCCTCTTCTGCGGAGGGCTGGAGTGTAAGAACATGGACAGTGAAGATATCCTGTTAATGGCTCTCTTCAGAGTCGCTATTTTGGACAACCTCTTGCCGCTCAGGTCGTGTTTAAGTGCCTGGCGCAAAGCATTAAATGCCTGGTTGTAGTCCAGGATCCTTTTCCGTTCCCTGACATTGGCCGCTATTCTTCTGGCCTTTGACCTCACTGGCCTGGTCCTTTTCTTGGGTTTGGCCTCATCCACTTCACTCTCACTGGTTGTCCTCTGCAATGTCTCAACAGAGTGGACCGATCTCTCGTCTTCTCCATCTTCCACCTCTTGCTCATAGTCAGAGTAGTCTGATTCAATGAGACTCATTGCAGCTGCAGTCACTCTTCAGCCACAGCTAAGTGATTGGTTTTAGTTAAACGTCTCTTACGGCTCGACTTTTAAAGATTTAAGTTTATGTCCAAACTATAGACTCCCTCTCAAAGCCACTCCCTTAAAGGGCAGCCTACTTTTTAAGTAATGCTTGCCCTCATTTTTTATGACACCTCATAAGTACTCTAACAGGTACCTTGTGTCTTCATTTTATGACCTGCCTGCAGGTAGACGAGCCTTAGTTTGATAGCTTTGTCAAGAAAGATCATAGAAAACATGCAAATGCCTGTAGTAAGTACTCTGACATACTGATCTGCCAAATTACACAGCAGCACACGTATTTTCTCCTCTTACAACAAATTACAGGTCTTCCTGTTTAATCTATCCTGGCTGATCACCTTCATACTTGTACTGCCAGACGGAGCAACAACACGGCACAGAAGGCAATGCAGTTCACACCTCTGTGATAGAATCTATAGAAGAGCAAAACAAATTCATAATCAACTAAACACTCAGCGATCATTTCATCTTTATGTACAACACTACAGATTGTCATGTAATATTAAAAATACATTAATACTGGAAATTTGTATATTTAGATGGCAGTGGTGGTTTCTATAGCTGGACAATATAGCACACCTGCAAATAAAGTTATATTTAGACTGTAGTGATATAATTTGTTGAAGCAGGAGTTCTTAACTTTGTTATGATCCCAGACCCCCAGTGGACAGCCCAGAATCTCCCCATAACTCCCTCTGCATGACTGTGGAAGGATCATAATCACCAGTGCTATCAGGTACCAGCATCACTCCAAATGCTTTTATATGAATTGCTAGCAACAGAACAGCTGAAAAAACATAGCAAGGAATTTGTGATATTAATTCATATAAAACGGCAAGTCACAAATACATTAGCTAGCTAAAATTAGTGAAAAAGACACTCTTTTATCACACAAATTAAGTTGTGTTTAAAGGCTGGACAAAGGGGGTGGGCAGCCTAATGCCAACCATGCTAACATATCACAAGCCAATATTGGGAAGTGGGAAGGCCTCAGTGTTGAGTTATCTGATTGTTAATAGGTTAGTTACTGTCCTGAAATTCTGAATTTGGGTATGTACGGTGGAAAGTCTTGATGATGGCTCCACAACCAGGGTGAATTACACTGCGGACAATGGCCAGCTTGAAAAGCTACAGCTTGATTAAACTTTGGTACCAATATAATAAATGCAATTTTTTATGTAGAAAGTATAGCCTATAGAATTGCCAGCATTCCTAAATTGCACTATTATCCACCAGTCAAATGTAACCACCTTTTCTCTAAATACATCTGAACTTGGCAGATTTAGGCCCCTTTCACGTGGGCTGTCTAATCGGGTCCATCTCTCAGTTTTTCAGATGGACCCGATTGGATGCCCAATGTATGTCTATGGGCACTCATGTGTAAATGGACGGGTGTCGATTTACACCCGGTTGCCCCGGACTCTGGCCAGTTTCCCGGAAAAAGGAGGAGATCAGAGATCTGTTTCGCCAGACTGAACCGTGCTGGATCGGGGGTAATCTGATGGAAACAGGCACATGTCCATTTACATCCAATTCCCAATAGACTGACATAGGGTCCTGTAATTGCAGTTTTTTTCCTCCATCTCTGTATGGACACAGATGTCAAAGCGGTGACATCCGCTCTGTACTGATGTGATCAGGAGAAGATCCGTGCACTCAGTCAGTCAGTCAGTCTTTTATAATCTTATTGCAGAGTCACTGTATGCTTCACACAACACATGGAGTAGCAATAATAATGTCAGGATGATAATAGTTAATTATCACTAAAGATCACATTCCTTCACTTTAAAAAAAAGACCAAATGAATGGCTAACTTTGTTTTAGATACATATGCACACTCTATCTATCTATCTATCTATCTATCTATCTATCTATCTACCCCAATGTGTCTTGTAAATAATGGCATTGCATTTACAGGATCCTCTTTTAATTCCTTCCATGTGTTCAAACAAAACTACATTTAACTTCCAAACTTCTAATTGCATATCCTCTCAAATTGTGTTTCTTTTTAGCCTACAAACTCATGGGTACTAATCCTAATCTGAATTTACTTTATAAACACAATCCAATTATGTAGAATGCAATTTTATGAACAGGTATAGTTAGTGCTCGGACAATTGTCTATTATAGTGCTTTTCCCAACTCTTTGAAGAGGAGCATAATTTCAGTGTCTGACTTGTAACAGCTCAATAAATCAGAGTAAAGGAGCCCTAGGGAAGCAAAAAGGCTAAACTTCACATCAAAGGCGGCAACCCATCTAGGAAAGGGAAAAACTTGCATTTTAAAAAAAATATCTCAACATAATCACCTGCAATTGTTTCTGTTGTAGACCATTAGGTGCTGATCACTTCTCTTTCTTACTCTGTGTGAAAGGCTGTGTGCCTAAGGGGAGCAGTTTATCTCCAGCTAACATAGAGCCCATTACTACTTTAATGAACCAGCATTGTTGCCATATGGCATCTCTGCAGAAAGCAGCAGGCATCAACCAGTTCATGATCAGCTATACAAATTTAAATGCATGGTCAGCATACATTGGTTGGTCTTGGGGACATAAATGTAAATTATAAAGTCCCATAGCAAAATTATTATAAAGCACCCTGACTCTCAGACCTCCATATCAAATGCAATTCATCTACAATGTACAATGCTATCCTAACACAACAGCAGCATGGTATAGCAATATGTTTTAGAGCAGTTGGAGGTGCTGACGTATTTAATCATAAATACATTTTTTTCATATACTGCTCTCTGTGGCAAGTTAAAGGGAAAGTAGAGCATATATCCAGAGTGCATATTTTTATTTATTATTGCAGAATGCATCTTAAAGTAATTTGATATGAGTTTCACATTTGTTCATGCTCCTTCATCTATGGTTGTTATTGTAGGAAATAGTAGGAAATGTTCACCCATTCATGAACAGAGTAAGTATGAGAGTTTGTGCATTTTCTGATGCAAGCACTCATTTTGTTATTGTGGAATGCTTGGTGTAAGAAATAAGTTTGTTCTGTGTACTTATTTGCCATGTAATGGTTACTGTATGTCCAAGATAGAAGTGGAGAAGAATGATCACCATGGTAAGGAAAACGGCATGATAATGGAGAATAATGATCACAGTGGGAAGGAAAGTGAGAATGAATGGAAGGGAAGAGAACAATTACACAGTGAAGAAGAGTAGGCATGAATGAAAGTGGAAGAAAATGGCCAGATTGAGAAGGATGAAACTGGAGTATAACACCTACGAAGAGAAGCAGAGTGGGCAAGGATAGAAGTGGAGGAGAATGTTCACAGAAGAGAATGCATATAGGTGAACAGGGAGAAGAATGATCACAAAGGAAAGCAAAGCATGCATGGATGGAAGTTAAGAAGAATGACCACAGACAGAAGGAGAATAATGATCACAGGCAAGAGTGGGTATGAATGGATGTGGAGGATAATAAACACAGAGGAGAATGGGTATGGATGGAAATGGAGGATAATGATCACAGGGCAGAGTGGGTATGGATGTGTAATAAACACAGAGGAGAGTGGGTATGGATGGAAATTGGGGATAATGATCACAGGGTGGAGTTGGTATGGAAGGAGGTGGAGGAGAGGATAATAAATACAGTGGAGACTAGGTACGGATGGAGATGGAGCATAATGAACAAAGAGGAGAGTGGGTATGTTCACAGAGGGAAGGAGAGTAGGCATAGATGGTACAGGAGGAAAATGACCAGAGAGTAGGCATGGTTTGAATGTGAGGAAAATTATCAGAAGGAGAGTAGAGGAGAATGAAAGCAGAGGGTAGATGGCATCGGTGAAAAGAGGGGAAGAGTGATCACAGAGAGAAGCAGGTTTGGCATAGTAGCATAAAAAGTATATAAAGAGGTGTACATCAACAAATGCACATAATTGAATGTTAAGAAAAGATGCAGATCTGATTGAGTGTATAAAAAAGAAAATAATGACTCCCTGGGTCACATTTGAACTGTTGTTCTTTGCAGGAAGGACAGTTCATACAGTTGTTTCCCCACATCTGCAGGTCAATGCAGATGGGGGAGAGCCCAGGCAGGAAATGCTAGTGCCGCTCATAAAGTGGAAAACTACAGTGATCATTACAGGTTTTCTAGCTTGCTTGATTGGCATTTTCCCTGAAAGCTAACTGGTGGCGTGGTGAGCAACTCTAACTCTATAGGCTGTTTAAGTACTGTAAGTACTAAGAATTACCGTTATTTAGAAAAAGAAGTTTTCCCCAGGAAGAGGGGATCCCACCATTCTTTAGAAAAACTATATACCAATTTAAATGGTGAAAAAAGTATAAATTATTTATTCGTTAAAAATCCATATCTCTAAGACTCTACGTACACAAAAATCAGAAAAATACATTAATCAAACAATTAGATAAATATATACACACAACAAACAGATAAATATATACACACAAAAATATATGACTATAAGAATTACCCCAGAACTAAGAGCCAAAAATAAAACAGCAAGGGCAGACACTCTGACAATTTGGAAACTAGCAACAATCATTATTCAACACACTTTTAAGTTAGCCAGGAAGAAAAAAAATCCTAACTAAACTGCTTTCAGCAAAACTGAAGTCACGCAAGCACGTGCCTTTAAAATTGTTACTTGAGACCATGCAGTGAGAACTCTCCTGCAATCAAATAATTATTTTTGTTCCCCTTTTTCACTAAAAGATTGCAGGGGGGGGGGTGCCGTCCTGGTGTATACACACAGTTCGGACAACATTCCAGCATCTATAAAGGGTGTTGGAGGAAGGAGATCTGCCAGGCTGATGTATGCATCGGCACTTAGGGAGTTCTCTTCTTGCTGTGCATGGCAGTCCTTGCAGAATGTTTTCTCTTTCGTCACATGCGGGCAGAGCTGGTACTGTATAAATAGGAAGTCCTGAAGAAAAATGGCAACGCTATTACAGATGCAAAGGG